GGGCTCTGCATTTTCGGGCTGGGCGGCGCGGAGGGCGACACGCCCCTCACGACGGCCTCCCCTCGCCTCGCGCTTGGGGGCGGAGGGGGGGGGAGAAGGGGGGAGCGGGGCGGGAGGAGGAGGGGGAGGAGGAGGAGGAGGAGGAGGAGGAGGAGGAGGAGGAGGAGGAGGAGGAGGAGAGGAGGGGAGGAGGAGGGCAGGAGGAGGAGAGAGGAGGAGGAGGAGAGGAGGAGGAGGAGGAGAGGAGGAGGAGGAGGAGGAGGAGGAGGGAAGAAGGAGGAGGAGGAGGAGGAGGAGGAGGAGGAGGGGGGGGAGTAGAGGTGAGGAGGGGGAGGAGGAGGGGAGAAGGGGAAGGAGGAGGGAGGAGAGGAGGAGGAGGGAGGAGGAAAGGGGGGGCGAGAGAGAGAGAGAAGAGGGGAGAGGGGAGGAGGAGGAGGGAGCGGAGAAGGGGAGAGAGAGGGAGGAGGGGGGGAGGAGGAGGAGGAGGAAGGGGAGAAGGGATGGAAGGGTACAAGGCGTAGAGGCGCCCGCTAATCACCCGCCAGCGCCCCGCAGGAGGAATCACAGCGTTGGCCTGCAGGAGCCCGCTTCTCGGCTTCCCAAACAGACTCAAACAGGCGCTCCAGTTTGGGGGTGCCTCCCCCCGGGGAGAGCCAGGGCCTCCGCAGAATCCTAAGTGAAAACTCCTCTAGGCCGACATCGCACCCACATTCGCTCTGCTTCGCCGACACGAAAAGCTGCACAAATGCTGGCGGCAGCCACGTCGCCCCCAAAGCGCCCCGAGATGGGCCTGGACTCGCTGAAGCCCCATCCGAGAGCAAGCCATGTTGCTAGCAAGCCTCGAGCTGGTGTTTGAGCCACAATGATCCAAAAGTGCTACGGCCAAGAGGAAGAGGAAGAGGGCAATTAGGACTGGGGAGGTGGGGTGGGAGAGGGGGAGGGATGGGGGGGAGGAGGGGGGGATGGGGGAGAGGAGGGGTGGGAGGGTGAGGGGGTGGGAGGAGGATAAGGAACCCCACTCTCGAGAAACTTGTCCTGCAGGGTGGGGGCAAGGGACACCAGCCCCATGCAGCCCACATCGAAGGGATTGTGCTCCCGATGATGTTCTCCGTGTTGTGCGTACACGCTGCCACACGCAGGGCGGGCAAGTTGCTATGCCTGCGCCGTCCCCAGGAGGCACCCCGGAAGGAGGAAATTGCTTTGAGGCGCCGTCTGAAGGCTCTGAAAGTTGAAGGCTATGGAAGAGTATCTGGAGAAAGAGGACCAGAGTGAACCTACGGGCGAGACTGCAACACATCCTCCCGTCCTAAGTCCCTCCCTCACAAGCTCTTGCGCGCCTTCCATTTAATTTCAAGAAGCGCCCTGCTTGAGAAGGCCAGGATCCAATAGGCCTACCATTCAGGCGAGAACCCTGTTGTGAAAAGGACTTGCCGTGCATCCTTCTAGCGCACCATCAGGGATTCGAAAGGTATGATCATGCATGTCAGCGGGGTGTCCAGCAAGATCCACTCGTGCAAGTTTACACTTCTGGCCAAGAAATTCGAGGGAGTCCCGATCGAGAGCCTCATCATGAAAATTGACCACCCTCCATCCGTGCAGCTGCTACATATGGTGAAGATGTTGGTTCTACATTGGACGATGTCTCAAACGAAAGCCCCATTCTTGACACTGGACTTTTCAACATCCAAATGACTGCTGCAACTTGTTTAAGACGAAAGTACGTGGCGCTAACGCGAGAGCCCCATGTTGAAAAATAATCGTCCACCATCTTTTTAATTGCTACAAGCGTCTAAAACAAGCGTGCGTGGCGCTACGGGGAGAGCTCCATTTTGAAAAAGGGCCGCCCTCCCTCCTAATGTTCGCAAGCTGTTCAAACGAACGTGCGCTGCGCGAAAGCTCCATTTCGAAAACGGCCTGCGCTCCATCCTTCTAACCGCTACAAGCGTTTAATGCTAGTGCGCGCGGCGCGAAGTGGCGAGACCATTTTGGAAACGCCCCCTCTCCATCCTGCTCGGCTTCAACTGCTCTCCCAGTCTGGAGGAGGAGCAAGAGGGCCCGAGGAAATCCTGGATGCAACAACGATTTTGCAAGACGCCCTCCCGTCCAAGATCCCCCCCTCACGAGTCCCTACAAACTGTCCCTTCCACTTTGAGAGGCTCCGTTCTTGAAGGGCCAGCACTGTGACGGGCCTGTCCCTCTACAGGGGGAGCGTTCAAGAGTAGCAAACAAATAGTCTGGGGACGATTGCTCCATCGTTTTTGAGTATTGGGGCCGCTCGCGCGCGAGCCCCGTTGTGAAAAAGCACCCGCCCCCCGCCCGTCCTGCCCCCGACGGGAGCGCAGGGCCTCTGGCGACGGCGGCGGCGGGGGGCGCCAGCCGCCTGACGCCGCCTCTCTCGGAGCCAAGCCGGCGCGCAGGCGGCGGTGGCGGCGGCGGCGACGACGACGGCGACGACGACGGCGACGGCGACGGCGACGACGACGACGACGACGACGATGAAGACGGCGACGACGACGACGACGACGGCGGCGGCGACGGCGGCGGCGGCGGCGGCGGTGACGGCGACGACGGCGGCGGCGGCGGCGGCAGCGTGCGCGCACCCGCGGCGGCAGGCATGTGCCGAGGACCTGGCCGCGGACCCCTGCTCCAGCGCGACGTTCTCCCCACTGCCGCGGGCGGAGGCCCCCTGCGGCCCGGGGCGCGGGCGCGGCGGTCCTTCGGGCAGTCGGCCCGGGCTCCGCCACGCGCAAGGGTGACCCTTCGCCAGAGTGACCTCTGGTGCGCGGCTTCCGGGGCTCGCACGGGGGGGCTCAAGCTCGAGCGCGCAGGCCGCTGCTGTCGCATCGCGTGCACCGCTCGGCCAGCCGCGCACGAAAGGTCATTCGTGCCTAGGGTCACCCGTCCGTGTAGCCGACAGACATACGACGGGAGGAGGAGGAGGGATGAGGAGGAGGTAGGATGAGGGGAGAGGAGGAATGAGGAATGGAGGGGAGGAGAGGAGGAGGAGGAAGGGGAGGAGGAGGAGGAGGAGAGGAGGCGGAGGAGGAGGAGAGGGTAGGAGGAGGAGGAGGAGAGGAGAGATAGGAGAGAGGAAGAGGAGAGAGGAAGAGGGGAGAGGAGAGCGGGAAAGGAGAGAGGAGGAGAGGGGAGGAGGAGGAAGAGGAGGAGGAGGAGTCGGAATGGAACAAAAGGGGGGCAAAAGAAAAAAGGGGAAGGAGGAGCGGAGGAGGAGGAGGGGGCGGAGGAGGAGGAGGAGGGAAGGAGAGGGGAGGGAGGGAGGAGAGGAGGTGGGAGGAGAGAGGGAGGAGGAGGAGGCTAGAGGGAGGGAGAGAAGGAGGAGGAGGAGGTAGGGAGGGGAGGCGAGGAGGAGGAGCAGGAGTAGGCGGAGCACAGGAGGAGGAGGAGAGGGACGAGAGGAGGAGGACGAGAAGGAGGAGGAGGAGTTGGAGGAGGACGACGACGACGACGACGAGGACGCGACGCCGGACGACGACGACGGACGAACGACGACGACGACGACGAAGACGACGAGGGGAGGAGGACGGGAGAAGGAGGAGAGAAAGGAAGAGGAGAGGAAGAGGGGAGGAGGGGGATGGAGTGAGGCAATAGGACACGAGGAGGGGAGGATTAGTCGGGAGAGTGTGCGGATGGACGGCGAAATGCGCAGAAGGAGGATGTAGGACGAGGAGGATGAGGAGGAATCATTCCGGCTGAAGGAGGCGGTCTCGATGAGGATGATGTATGGAGGAGGAGAGGGATGTAGGAGGAGGCGGTAGGAGGAGGGAGTGGAAGTAGGAGGATAGGCTTAGGAGTCGTTTTCGTTCGTAGGAGGTCTGTATGGCGGCAGGAGGAGGAGGATGAGGAGGATGAGGAGGAGGAGGGGAAACCAAATGAAGACATCGGATGTCTGGGGGGAGTGCGGCTCTGCGGCCGGGGGTGCTCGGAGGCCCTGCCTACCTCCTCCGGATGTCCTCCTTCTCCTCCTCTCGTCCTCCTCCTCCTCCTCCTCCTCTCTCCTCCTCCTCATCCTCTTCCTCTCCGATCCGTGTGAGCGGATGTGGGCCGGGCGGGAGAGCCGCCGACGGGCCGCTCTCCGAGTGGGCATGTCCGTCGGCCGTGCCAGCTTCCGGCTTGGTCCGGCAGGTTCGGGTCTCGGTTTTGGGCGCCCGGAATGGGCACGGAAACAAAGGGCACGATGCCCAACAGCAAATGTTGTCCCGAGCCAACAGCGGCCGCTGTTTGGCAGGCGGCCTTCTGTTTCAAATGGACACAATCCGCGGCGACGCCGACAGCGAATCTGGTTCAAAATGAACAAGAACTGCTGTCGGTCTTTGTACCCATTCTTTCCGTACCCATGTCGGTCATCTCGATCGGTCCGCAGCGTCTCGGTGCGGGCAGCAGTCGCAGGCCTAGAGGTTGACACCAACACCAATATCGGTGGTGTGCTTCCATCGAGGGAAGAAGATCCCGATCTCGGTGATGGTGGTAATACTATGGCTTCCAAGGTGGCCGAAATATCACCACCAACACCGAAATCGAGGATCATCTTCCCCCTGTGGAGGCAACCCACTGTGTTGGTGTTGGTGCCAATTTCCAGGTCTACAAAGCAGGGGGATGAGACCAGAGAGTCGGGCCGACCGAAAGGGGGGGTATAGGGAAAGGGGGGGTTACGAAATCTGCTGCATGCAGCTGGTTTGGTTTTTATCCGGGAAAGTATTGAGGGTCAAACTGTGTTGTTGGCCCTTAGTTTACAACAGTAACGGCTCCCGCCTGATATTTCTTCACAATGTATTGAAGAATCGCGCTCTCGGTTGGGACTTCCTTGCAATTTACCACCGGATTGCGGCTCCCGCGTGATATTTATTCAATGTATTGAAGAATCGCGCTCTCACTTGGGGCTTCCGCGCTCCTCTCGACACGGTTGCAGTTCTCACTATCCTTCCGCCCCGCTCTCCCAACATCCCGCTTCTTTTCAGGGTTCCACGAAATTTGTTTCTGACACCAGTTCGCAGCTGCACGTCCCCCCGTGGGGGTATCCACGATATGTTCTTTCAAGGGGGTGGTACGTGGCGCTGTTTATGGCGCGACCCATGGCGAAACTTATGGTTAACCTGCGTTGGAGTGGCTGGCGCAAGCCATGGCGCAAGCTGAATCGCCACTCGCAGCGCAAACCATCGTCCTCCCACCTTTTTGCCCCTCCCCTCCCTCCGATCCCTTCGTCCTCACTATTCCCCGTTATCTGTTACCCTTCGTTTTCAAGGGTTTACCCAACCACGCGTGGCAGGGAATGCATCTACCCCCCACATAGGGGTATGATCGAAGACGAAGAGGGCGGGCATCCAGGGTTTGGGGTATGTATATTGAATCACACGCGAGCAGATAAGAGCGGACAGTCTTAAAATGATTGTTGATGTTGTTTTGTTGTTGTTGCTGTTGTTGTCGTTGTTGTTGTCGTTGCTGTTGCTGTTGTTGTTGCGTTGTCGTCGTCCTCGTCCACGACCCACTCGGCGACCCGCCCCGCGACCCATCCCGCGCCCCGCCCCGCTACCAATCCGCGACCCACCCGCGACCCTCCCGCAACCGACCCCGCGCCCGCCCCCTCACTCTTACCCGCCATTGCGGGGTGCTGCGTTACTATTTCGCGGCTTCTCCAGTTCCTCGGCTTCTCCGCTGCGTTGCCGTTTCCACTTTGCCGCGCTGGTCTAGAGATGGTTTTCGATTCTTGCGTGTCCTCTGTCGATGATTCCCGCGGGCGAGCTTCCCACTCTCGCAGCGGCGAGCCCCCCAGCAGGTGGCTTCTGGGGCCCCGGGGGCCTCCTGCTACGGCAGGTGCGCGTCGTGTGGATGCGGCGGCGACCTCGCCGCCCGCGTTCCAAGGTTGAACGCCGCCAGTGCCCGGAGTCGGCCGACATCGAACGAGCGGCTCTGCCGGAGAGCCGCCGACCGTCCAGGGCTGTGCGATCCACGTGGTGCCGGGTGGTGTCAGACACCGGCGCGCAGGTCGTCACGACACGACCATTCCGCACGCTCACCAGCCCCCAGGTCGTGTGGAGCTGAGCGCGCCCTGCGCGTCGCGGGCCGGGCCGAAGAGCTGCCTTTCTTCGGGGGGGGGGGGGGGGGCGACGCGAGAGCGCCGCCTGGCGCCCGCAAGTCGCACGCCATGCAGCTCGGGCCTCGCACCCTCCCCCCCCAGAGGGGGGAGAGTTGGGCGCTCGGGGCGGGGTTGGGCAGCTCGACGCGGCGTTCACAGAGCACGCGTCACCCTTTGCGGGCACGCCCGCGGCGGGCGGAGGGCGGGGGGGAGGAGACCAGCCATCTGCCAGCTAGGGGAGCAGCGGTGGCGCGCAAGGAGCTTTGGGCGGCTCGCGCCGCACACCGCCCCCACGCTGCACCGGATGCAAGCGGGAAGCTGTTCCAGCTCAAGCTGCAGACCGAGCTGAGGGAATGGCAGGTGTGGTGCGTCGCCTCGGACTGAATTCGGCCAGGCCGTTCGCAGCGGGGTGCGACAAGGCGGAGGAGCCGGAAGGCTTCCTGTAGAAGACCAGCGCGAAGCACGAAGAGGGCAAGGACGAGGGCAAGCGCGAGGGCGACGGGCCCGTGTTGCTGGCCGAAGACCAGGAAGTGCGGGATCGCGTTGTTTTGAAGGTGTGATAGGTAAGCCCTCCTCCTCCTCCTCCTCCTTCTCCTCCTCCTCCTCCTCCTTTTCCTTCTCCTCCTCCTCCTTTTCCTCCTGATCCTCCCTCCTCCCCCCTCCTCCTCCTCCTCCTCGTCCTTCTCCTCCTCGTCCTCCTTCTCCTCCTCCTCCTCTGCCTCCTCCGCCTCCTCCTCCTCCTCCTCCTTTTGCCTTGTGCCTTCTGCCTTCTGCTCCTCCTCATCAACATGTTCCTCTTCCTCCTCCTCCTCCTCCCTCCTCCTCCCCTACCCTGGTTCTCGACTCTCCTGCTTCTCGCCCCACTTCACCCATCCTCCTCCTCCTCCTCCTCCTCCTCCTCCTCCTCCTCCTCCTGTTCCTCCTCCACCTCTTCCTCCTCCTCCTCCTCCCCCTTCCCCGCGTCCTTCTCTGCCGAGGGCGGCCACTCCGTGCCCGGGATCACGTCCAACAAGTCGTGGCCGTCAATGTCGTGCGAGCAGAGCTCCGCGGAGGCCTTGCCTCCCCAGCGGGAGGGGGCAGCACCGGCAGTGGGGGTGGGAGCAGGAGCCAGGCCACCAGGGATGAGGGAGAGGAGGGGGGGACAGGGAAGGGGGATGGGGCGCTGCGGCGGGAGGAGGAGGAGGAGGCGAGGGAGGAGGAGGAGGAGGAGGAGGAGGAGGAGGAGGAGGAGGGGGAGGAGGGGGAAGGGGAGGAGGAGAAGGACCAGTGTAAACCCAAGACTCATCAACGATGTTGGAATCAACCCTCCCTCCAAGCTCCCTCATGGGCCCCTACAACGGTTCACGTCCACGGAGGGAAGTGCCCCGTCGGGCGACAGCCCTTGGAACATCCTGGAGCCCGCCAAGACG